CCTGCTTTTCTAAATTTTCGATCCTATTAAGCCTTTTGAATACTGAGCGCATTCTCGAAACACAGCTAATTATTTCCTCCCGCGCCTAAGTCTAGGGGCTTGGGGCTGGCAGCCACCCACCAAGGCCATAAACACCTTAAGACGACAGTCCGTCTCCCACTTCCCACAGCACCTTGCTCAGCGCCTCACGCTTGGAACACACCTAGTAACTACTGTGGCGTAAACAGAAAGTTTCACACACAGGACAGAGAAGCCCTCTCCAAACGAGCCGGTGTGCAGAAAGCAGTCATTGTTACTAGGAGGCCGAGCAGGAGGCGAGCCCTTCTCCCCCCCACCCCCCAGGAGCAGCACCCCCAATTACACCAGCTGGCCTCCAACCCCTGTGTGTGAGCCGATTAAAAAGCACCCTCTCTCCAGTGTCTGGAAACTCCTGGAAGGAAAGTTTGCCGCCTGAAGTTGGCTTTTGACTAGAGTCTTAACAAGAGGCCTCAGCAGGCTGTGGCCAGAGAGACAATGTCACTTACAGGAGCAGCTTGAAGCAGCAGTTAGGAGGAGAATTATTTTAATGAATACATTTCCTTTCAATTGTATGGGAATATCAAGATCCCATTAGAATGGGGAAGCAATTAGAACTAATAAAGATGAATGCACAGTGTTCAGTGTGTGCGGAATAACAAGCAGCCAACAAAGGGGCTCCGGAGAGCCTGCGCTAATCCAAGTGAGCGGGCAGCCAGCAAGGCCAAAGGCTCTGTTCAGTGCTCAAAGCCCCTGTGCCTGCACATTCTGATCACGGCCAACAAATGGCGTGAACTGGGCACTGGAGGTGGGGTCACCCCCCACCCAGCCCAGCCTCTTGGGGACTGAGATGGGCTGCTGGCAGCCCCTTGGCAACAGCCATTCAGGCCAGGGCCTGGCTCCAGGCCAGCTTCTTGCCTGCCCCTCGCACTGGGCCTCATTGTGTCCAGGTGGCAAATGCCTTCTCGCCAACTCTCCTTCGAGGGTTCCAGAGGAGGTGGGACAGTGGAGAAGGGAGGAGGGAGTACATGAGTAGGGGGCCCTCTGCCCCTGCACCTCTCCCCTCCCTTCCCCCTGCTGGCCAGGGTCTGCTCCTCCTCTGAGTTTGGTGTTATGTTACAGACACTGGTGAGTCACAGGCAGCCAAACACAAAAGTACTGCTGCTTACACAATTGCTCTTCAAACAGTAACAAACAATTTTCCTTATCCAAGTCAGATCGAATCATCCGCCTGGCCATCCTGCCTCAATCCCAGCCACACAAACAGGACCCAAAGCCTCATGCTCTGCCTCCTCCACTCCGACAACACTGGGCTTCATTCTGCCTCAGCCTCAGGACAAGGGACAAAGCGCTTCCTCCGATCCTTTCTGTGAGCTGGATCTGCTGCACGTCTGTAAGGGCTGTCTGGACAAACGGGGAAGACACAAGGACCTACAGGGCTTGGGACCCGCTCAGATGGGGGGTGACATGTTACTCAGCACCTGGGTGAAGAAAGCATTCAAGAGTTTGGAGGACTCCATTGCCAAGTTTAGAAGGAATCCAGCAAGATAACCCTGGCTCCCCACCAAAGTGCTCACTGGCCTCAAATGGAGTGTCAGTACTTGACATTTCTTTATTTAATCTTTTTGGCCAGGCAGTTTTTTCAACTAGGAATGTGTAAGCTCATTCCAGAATGTCTGCATGAGAGGCCAGTCACACTCATTACTGGGATTTTTCTACCACTTCTCTTAAAAAAAAAAAAAAAAAAAAAAGGCTGTAACATTTTATACTTGTTTCTTAAAGGTAGAGCACTTTAAAAGCACATTTACATTTATAATCTTGGGCCTCAAAATCTCCCTGGGGGGATGGACAAAGTAAAGTTTGTTTGGTCTACAGATGAGGATTAGTGGCCCAGAGGTTCAAGGTCCCGTGCAAGGTCATGGGTAGGTAAGGATCTGACTCAGTGCTCGGACTAACACCTTTCCCACACTCCCACACGGCGCTACACATTCCAGGACAATTCGTCCTGCAGTTCTGTTTCCAGCATAACTCCCACCCTTTCCACACACTAAACTATACTAAGCACTGTGTACTTCCTCACCCTGTAGGCTAGGCTACCTGAGGATCCCCCCTCATGAAGTTTCCAAAATAAAAGTTATCCAAGTGTTTCACCGTTCTCCAACCAAAGAGATATTCCTTGCCTCCACTTTAACAGCTTGGGTAAGCATTAAAAGCCCATCCAGTACACGGTGGACACAATCAAACTGGAAAACCAACCATTTAGGTCCCTTCAGTATAACACTGTAGCACCTAGGGATTGGCAAATGCTAAGGCAAAGTCCATTTTCCTTTCATACTTATTACCTCCCACACCTAAAGGCCTATTTGTTAATTTTAGAAAGTCTTAATTTCTATAATTTTCGGTATAATTTATCTGCCATGAAATACACAGGTGTTAAGTGTACAGCTTGCTAAGTTTTGACAAATGTATGTATACACTCAAATCAGGATACAGAACATTTCCATCACCCTAGAAAGTTCTTGGATACCCCCTTCCAGGCAACCCCATGCTAAGCCTCCACCGTCTTAATTTCTATAACCATACATTAGTTTATCCTGCCTTGAGCATCAGATAAATGGAATCATATTAGATATATAACCTCCTGTTTCCTCCTCCTCCTTTTGTGGTACTAGGGATTAAACCCAAGGCTTTTGCACTGAGCTATGTCCCCAGCCCTTTTTATTTTTTATTTTGAGACAGAGTCTAAGTCACTAAGTTGCTCAGCTGGACTCAAACTTGTGATCCTTCTGCCTCAGCCTCCCAGGATACTGGGCTTATAGACATGCACCTTTTTTCTTTCAATCAATGTGTCTGCCACTCACCCACATTGTATCTGTCGTTTGTTTCTTTTTATAAAAAGTATTACATTTTTCACTGTTCAATCCAGCTATATTACTATTAATTTTCCCCTCAAAATTCTTCCCATTATATTTATCTCCTGCATGCTTCTTTCCAGGTATATGTCTTCTGAATATCCTCTTGGCCATGCTTGCAATGACCAAAAACACATAAATGGATTATTTTACCTCAAGAATTACCCTTTCTGGTAGGGGTGGCTAACTAGGTCATCTGGAATGGTGGTCACAAGCTCAGGCTTCAGAGTAAGCAGATCTGAGTTTAGATTTCTGGTTTAGCACATGACAGATGGCTAGTTTGAGGCAGGTAACTTAACCTCTCTGTGACTGTTTTCCCATTTATAAAATGAGGATAATAATACCTTCTTAATAAGGATTTGTGAGGAATAAATTACACTGTGCATAAAATGTTTGGCACAATGCAAACTAATAATGGCCTCAAGCTAGACTATACTAAACATCCTCCTGCTTCATTCACACACTCTTTTTGGTAAGTGATATGTTAATGGGTATATATTTTTAAGACATATTTCACATTTATATCTAGAAAAGTCTGATATTTACTGAAAATAAACTATTTCCTAAGGAAAAAAGTAAAGGCCTCCACCATTTATTTGTTGACAAGTATATGTTGAGTGCCAACAATGAATGATTTTAAATTATTACAAACATGGCCCTGGGCCGGGGATTTAGCTCAGTGGTTCTGCTGCCTGCCTTCCAAGCACAACGTCCCAAGTTTGATCCCCGATACCACAAAACAAAAACAAAACAAAACACAGATGGCCCTAGTTTTTAGGATGTTTGGATTGGGGAAGGCAAGAAGATAAAAACAAAAATAATTACAATACAACATGTGGCAAATAATAATAATAACAATTAACATCTATTAATGTAGTGATTAAGAGTATGGTCATACTATATGGGTTAAATCCCAGCTGCAAGATGCTGGGCAAGTTACTTAGCCTCTTTGTATGTTACCTCCCTTGTAAAATGGGGATAACACTATTTACCTAGCAGGGTAAATTCTCAGTAATAATGCAGCCAACATTTATAGACTACTCAGTATGTGTCAAGCACTGTGTTAAATGCAGATATGCATTTCTTTACATAATCTCTGAATGCTATTATTCCCATTGTACTGATATGACAACTGAAGGTCAGGGAGTTTAGGTAATGTTCTCAAGATTATATAACTAAAAAATAGCAAATGCCAGAGGATAAACACAATTATCTATAAAGTGAGAATCAAGTGAATTAATATTTGAAAACTGCTTAGAACACAGTCTAGCCTATATACACAGGTGTCAAATAAATACAGTGATTCAGAGATGATAGTAAATGCACCATGCACGATGACTAAGGAAGACTTTGGAAAGGTGACATTTAAACCGGGCCCCGAAAAGTAAATAAGTTTGGCTAGGAACTCAGGAGGCGTGTGTGTATGTGTATTTAGTGGGTGGAATACTTTCCTTTCCTCCAACCATTCACTATTCTTCAATTAGCTCTTATCATTTTCCTCTTATTGCTAGAGAACCTCTCATTACAATTATCCACTGAACAATAGTTCTGGGTGTCTCTATGTTCCCCTCCAGGTCTCAATTCCTATTCTCCACTATAATCCTCCAAACTGGATTATCAGCTTTTAGAAGGGTCCACTGCAACCCATGCTCCACTCCGTCACCAGAGACTAAAGACACAGACCCGGCCCAGACATTCTTTGCTCCCCCTACAGTCTTTCCCTATTGTGTTCAGAATAAACTTCAATTTCCCTAGCATCTTGGTCGAGGCCCTTCACTAACTAGCCCTGGGAGCGTATCTCCCAGTCTTGATCTCTATACACTCTGGCTTGAGCTACAGGAAATCAGTCAAAATCAGGGCTACCTACACTTATAAAAAAGAACTCCATTCCTACTTCAGCCTTTACATATTGAAACATGTCTTGAATGAAAAAGCCCTGGTTACACCCCCTTTCCCCTCAGTTTTCCCAACCAAGTAGCAGCGTACCCATAACCCGGAGAAGACCGGAAGAGGAAAGGTTTCGCGCGGACCCGGGACCGCCATCTTGGCTGAGGTGGCCGGAAGTGGCCGGAGCGCGGGCGCGGACTGAGGATGCGCAGCGGCAGGCGGATCCAGGACGCCCGCGGCGTTATGGCAGCGATTCACGCACCGAAGGGTAGAGTCCCGCAGCTGCGCTCCCAGCCCTCCTCGCGCCGTCCAACCCTTCCGTCCGGGTTTGCGCAGCGGTTTGCACGCCCCTCGGCCCGTGTACGCGCTGTTCTGTCTGCCGGTCCGAAAACACGTTGCGGAACCCAGAGCGCGGGGGTCTCCCGGACTCGGGACGAGGGGGAACGTGATGGCGGCCGTGACGGTGAGACACAGGCCCTGCCCGTCTCTCAGAGGAGGCCTCGAGGCCCCTCCTGCAGGAGAGCCCCCTCCAAGGAGGACCTCGGCGCTGTTTCTGCTGGCGGAGAGCAGGAAGAGGTGTCCCATCACGCACTCTGAGATGGTGAAATACATCATTGGAGACTTGAAGCATCTGTTCCCGGAGATCATCGCAAGGGTCGCAGAGCATCTGCGGTGTGCTTTTGGTTTTGAGCTGAAACAGCTCGACCGCAAGCACCACACTTAAATCCTGATCAACAAATTTAAAACCTCTAGAGGTTTTAAGATTGGGTCTCTTAGTGATGATCTCTTAGCGATGATCTTGGGACTTACCTACTTGAAAGGTAATAAATAGTGCCAGGGTGGCCCAGGTCTGGGAGATGCTGCTGGGTTTGCGGTACTTGTGTCAAGAGTGTCTTATCACTTCCCCTTTGGGCACCCAAAGAGGCTTGTGGAAGATTTTGTGCATTAGCGATACATCAGTTACAGGCAGGTGCCTCACACCAGTCCACCGGAATATGAATCCATTTGGGGTCCCCAAAACAACCTGGAAATCAGCAAGATAAAAAGCCTGGGGTTCTGGTCAGCCTTCATAAGGAAGAACCCCAGCACTGGCCATTGCATTGTGGTGAGGCTGTAGCAGACAGAGGTCAACAGGGCAGAGCCGAGGCCAAGACTGTGCTAGGCCCTGCATCAATGCTAGTGAGGGCTGGTGGAAAGATGGCCAACAAGGGCCCTGTGGGTGTGGAAGCCACTGTTTTGAGTCAGTATAGGTAGGGTGAGAGAGTCATTTTTTCTAAGGAAATTATGTAACTCTTTAGATTTTGAATCCTCATAGGTTGTATTAACATTTAATATGTATATAAATGAAATTGATCTTTTTCTGTGAGATTTTGTTGTAGAGTTTTGCTAGTTTTAAAAAATGGATTGAAAAATGTTATTCTGTGATCTTGAAAAGATTACCCAGTGTGGGAATGCTGTTATTTAAATCGTTTGAAGAATCTTAGCATTGTGATGATATAGTACCAGAAGAAGAAAACAGCTGATTCCATGTCTAGCCTCCCAACACTTTTTGTCTGTTGTATATTTTTTAAAAAAGATTGACGTGTACCTTTACTTGCTTAGATGTTATATTATCTAGAAAATTACAAGTATACACTGAACACTTAATAAATTAAACCCATGTTTAACATTTTGATTTTTTGGATGCATTGTTTTGGGCATTTGGGGATAGGATACATTTTATTTTTTTATAGAATTGGGGAATATATAAATAACCCAGAAGTTACAATACAATGAGTTGAACACTACAAAGGACACCTAACGCAGTTGTGGTTGGTCAGGACTGCTTGAGATCACCTTTGGTAAGTCACCTCTCTGGGGGAGGGGAGGGAACAGAGAAAGGAAGTTGGAAAGTGAGATGAGTGGGGGATGGTATTTAAAATGACTTAAACTCAGGTGCTCCTCAATACCTTGGGAAAAGACCTGCTAGGCAGCAGACTTTGGAAATGCCCTACATTTGCCAGTGGTGCACAATGATGGTGACCAGGGGCATTTTTGGTTCTCCATCTCTCTCTCCACCTCTCTTAAGTTTCACTCTTCTGTCAAACCCTTGAGAGAGCAGTTAGTGTAACAATTCTGAAATACTGTAGTATGATGGAGAGTACATCTGATATCTCCTGTTATCTAGAAGTTGTACTTCAAGTTTTCTGCCTTACATCAGGAAGCACAGTACTCCTTGTTTGTACCTGCTGCTTTCCACCTGCCACCTCCCATTAGGTGGAGACCATTTGGTACATCCCTCACATTCTTAATACCAAGAAGAGTCGTGCTAGCTGATCTGGACTCTGCAGTGCCTACCACCTTTCACTCTGGGGGAGAAATCCTATAGAAAGATGTATATAGTAATAGAAAACCTACTGGAATGGAACCCACACCAGAGGTGGAGGGGCGTGGATTGGGAAACTGTCTCCCTACAGCTGTCATAAAAGAAGAGTTGCTCTTTGCTCTCTTTGCTGTTAGTTTTTCTGCTTCCAGTTGTATCAAATAACATTTCTGAGTGTTTTAAGGTTGTCATAGAATACAGATAACTTTGAGATGGGGCCCTGGGATCCAACAAATCAGACCAAAGCTATCAGCTTATAGGGAAAAAAGTTTAGTGATAATTAAAACTATGATGTCTAAGTAGTTTATGATTATTAAACAGAACAAAGATACTGAGGGCCCACTGTTCTGCCAACAACTCTGCTAGGTACCAAGGCTATTAAAATGGAAAGATTGAAGTCTAAGGCAATGGGCCACACCTGTGATTTCAGTGTGGGAGGCTGAGGCAGGAAGATTGCAAGTTGGAGCCCAGCCTGGGCAACTTGATGAGACTCTGTCTTAAACCTAAAAAATTTAAAAGGCAGAAGGTGTATTTTGGGGTGAAGGTTCTAGATTCAATAAAATGGGAAGACTGGCTTTGCCCTCTAAGTATAATAACGGAAATTCTTCATGTTTGTGATCTCAGTGGCTGAGAGGTCAATAGTGTGTTTACCTGAAGGTCAAAATTATCTGACAGTTTGCCTACTGTTCTACCAACAACTTTGCTAGGTAAAAGAGAATAGCAAGACTAGAATCCAAGACTCTTGCCCCCATGTTCCCCATTCCTGGCCTTCAATATTTGTGTGTGGTTTTAGTTTTCACAACTCTTAAGAAACAAGCAAGACGGGTGTAACTATCTCCAGCTGCCCCTGTTGTCTTTAAGGGAGTGAGGCAGAGTAGAAATACTCTCCACTTTACCGCGACTGAGATGGCTTTGCCCAGTGTTAAACATGGCAGCTGTGGCAAAGCAAGGACTAACAACAGTACCATTTATTAAACATCTTTGGACTAAAGGTATTTCTCGTTCTGCTTTTTATGGTCACATTGAAAAGCAGCTGTTACTAAACCCCTCCATTTTATAGATACTAATGATAATAATACTTGACATTCATTAAATTCCTGAGATGCACCACCTTCTTTATGGTTTGTGTGTGTTTTAATGATTTTCATAATGGATAGATATTATCCATTCCATTGTCACTAAGCAAATGAACTCAGAAGTCCTTAAGGTCTCACAGCTAGTCAGAATGAGGATCGAAGCAGGAGTCAGGCTGAGTCAAGAGCCTGCACTTGTCACTATTTTACATTTCTTTCCTGGGACTTTCCAGAGTTGGGTCAGGTGACACATGACACATCTTTGTTCAGACACCCCTCTCTGGAGACACAAGAGCCATGGAGTCAAGGTAATTATGGCAAGATGCTGGCCTGCAGGAGGGTAAAAAGGAAGCTAAAAGTTGGGGAATCATCTGCAAACACTGGTTCCAGTCCTGCCGACTTTCTTCTTGATGTTCTCAGAGAGCTGACAAATGCTGAATGTGTCATTTTGCTCAATCTTGGCAGATTTTGCCCTTAGAGACTATGTTTCTTCAGTGTTTAGTCTGCCCTCTGCCGTAACCCTCAAATTAGTCTTCCATGCCATGGAACAATCAAATGGTGCTTGTGGACCTGCAGTGAGAATCCCAGCGTTGCTTCCAGATGGTACAAAGGCTGGCAGAACTCCTACCCTTGCCACGGGATGAAAGACTTCTCATGTCACTGATGCCATCATCAGTTTCTTAGAAGTACAGGGAGTGTGGCTTCCAAGGCCATGTGTGGAGCAGACACTGGCCGTGGTGAGGGCGAGAAATGGATTCCCACAGTGCTTGTGGCCATTCCCAGGAGGGAGAAGGAAGACCCGGATTCCCCGTCTCCTTCCTCTTCGAAACACATAGAACTAGGTGTTCCTGGGCAAAACACTGCCTGATTGGAGTGGAAAGGATGGAGAGGGTATTGGCGAATGGATTATCCCCCAAGTTGTAATTACAGTACAACCAGGAAGCCACGTTTGCAGGGCTCAGTTGGGCCATGGGCAGCAGGGATCTTGACGCTCACCGGAGCTGCAGTTTCTAACCCTCTGGACTTGGAAGATGGTGTTTGGAAAGAGACTCAGGTCAGGTACAGTCCCAGTATCCAGCATGCACACGGTGATCCAGAGGTGGCAGCTCATTTGCAGCCTCTGCAAATCAGATCTCCATTCACAGGCTCAGTCAGTTTCCACCTGAGGTAATTATGCTCCATGCCTTGGTTGGGGGCAGCTGATCACTTGTGTGAATTATTCTTCAAATTGTGCAGCCCAGCAGAGATGGCAGTAATTAACCTCCCAACAGAAACAGTGAACTGAGCAAGGAGGTTAGGTGTTCTGGAGAATGTCCTCATCGAGGCCTTTTAAAAGTCTTGACTGCGACCTTGAACGAGGAATGTCAGTCTGAGAAACAAAGATCTAAGAAAGTTTGCTGGATGATTGGAAAAGGGGTCAACTGCAGGCTGTGCCCCACACCCCAGCCTTCCAGCTGATGTCAGACTTTGCCCAGTCCCCCAGCTGGTCGTGACCAAAAACTGGCAGCCAGGCACGGTGCTCAGTATGACAACCTCATGGTCTCATGCATCTGCACACAGCCCTACACTGCCTACATTAGGACCCTGTTAACGTTTATGTCTAGATGTCCGCAAGAGCCTCGTGCACTCATAGGTGGGGTCTTTGGAAGGTGGCTGCATTATAGGGATTTACAGCTGACTTGCTGTTAGGTGTTCTGGGTGGAAGAGGCGGGTCACTGGGGGCGTGGCCTGGAAGGATGTATCACCCTTGCCCTGTCCTCCTTTGTGCTCTCTGCCTCCGATTCCACAAGGTGAGCAGATTTTCCTTCTCAGTGCCCTTCTGCCCTGGCATCCTGCCTTGGAGCCAGCCAACTATGGACCAAGCCAAAATGAACCTCTCTTCTTTTAAGCTGTGGTGTTGGGTCTTTTGTCCCAGCGACGAGGAAAGTGACCGAGACAGGTAGTATAAGAAACCACAGGAAAGAAGGATCCCAGCTGTTCCGTGAACAAGTTAAATGACATGGCCAACTTGACAACTAGTGGATACAGACCCAGGACTTGAATCTAAACTTTCCAGGTTCTTGCTGGTCTAACACTCACTGGTCCTCAGTGAGTTCTTAGGGAGGAACCGACCTCCTGTTGGAAAAATGGGGCTGGGAGGGAAGGGAGAAGCCTCTGGCACTGCTTATTTACATCCTACCCTGGTATCATACCTGTGGCTTGTCTGGGCCATGCTGAGTGAAGAGGTATTATCTTGGGCTGCATATAAAATATATAATACAGTTACTGATAGGAGTATATAATTCCTTTATTGTTCTTACTTGAACTTATTAAATTATTTTACAAAATAACACAAGCCCAAGTTTAATAATTACATAAGAACACTTACATGTCCGCTTAGTAACAATAAACACCTCTTCACAGCACATGCGCTTGTAGGTAGGTGAAATATTACCAGTAATCGGTGTGTTTTACAGGACATTGTGCACAAGCGCAGGTCACATCTGATACGCAGGAGTTTCAGTTCTACTGATCATACTCTTCCCTACACGGCATCCCATTGTCACCCAGAGCCCTACATAGTCTGTGCTCAAGCACTGTGCAAACATAAAAAAAAAAAATCACTAAAAATGACATCATCGTGTTTAAAGTTTCCAGTCCAGTGGGGTTGTGGTACTAGCTGCCCTGGTCCAGAAACTCCCCCAGAGCAACCTGGCTAGAGGGTGGAGGCGGTAACAAGGGCCAGGAGTGAGTTGGCTTCTCTGGTTGTAACACTCCGAATGGGAGAGGGGCTCACTGTTGAGGGGTGATCTCTCCGAAGTGTCTCCCAGACCTGCTGCAGGAGCCCTGTGTCCGTGAGGTGGGGAGCAGCAGGGGCAGCCTGAGAAGGCTGTAAAGATAGAGGAGGCCTCCTGCAGTGGAAGGCTTCCGGGCCTGGAGCAGAGATCTGCGCTCCAATCTCCCTGCCTGTGGCGGCAAGGTGGCTTGCTTGGGGTTCTGTCATTAAAACAGAGATAATTTTACCAATCTCAAAACACTGATAAGTACACAACCACCAAAGCACCCACCACAGTATCTGGTTTTGGTAACTATTGTTATTAGGAAATGCATCCGCTGAACAAATATTTCTTGAGCACCTTCTAGATACCAGTCATACATATAAGTGATAAAATTACAGTGGAGAAAAAAATAGATGACCACCCTTACCCTCAGAGAGCATACATGCTAGCATGCGGA